GAGCTCCATCAGGACTGGTAATAGACTGTCCGGATTAGGAGAAGCGTGCAGTGTCGTTTCGGCGTTTGGTCTGTCCACCACTGGCATTTAGGATTTGATGGTGGCTTTGGACTGCGAGGGTTTTCAGCGACAACCCCGCCCGGATCGACGCCGCGTGCAGCGCAGCACAGCACAGCACCTGGCCACAGCTTTCTCCTCACTCCGCTCGTGTTCCGTCTTGTCACTCCAACATCGCCGGCGAGCGTTTTTGATGCGCAAAAACACCATATCGGGCCCGAAAAAGTAGCGGGAAAAGATGCATCGAGTATTTGGCCGCCGGCGCATTGCCCACGGACGTTGCTGGCGCCTGCCGGGGCAGTCCCAGCGAGTGCTGGTGGCGGGATTGTAGCGGGTCCAAAGACCTGCTACCCCGGATTTCCCCAGATTCGATGGTGGGCCTTGACTCCTCCCCCCTGGCTGTGAGTGGCTCTCGAGCGGCCCCCGGCACAGCAGCAACAAGGGAAGCTCCATGCAGGGCGCTCGGGCCAGGATACCTCAGCAAGGTGAGCTCGTCGTGCCATGATGATGTACCCGTCACGCGATCCTCGCCCGACGTGCCAACGTGATCTCTCTCATGGCATTACCCCGCCCGGTCTGACGAAACAGTCGAGGCAGGAACGACGCAGCCACTGCCACCAATTCCGCCGATGCCTCCTCTCCAGTCACAGACAGTCACGACCCTTCCCCCTTTCCCGCCGCGCCTGCCTTACCTATCACTCCCAGAGCCCCCAACCCCATCAGCTCTCCTTCTCCTCTTTCCTTCCCCTCCTTTGTCCAACAAACGTGCATCCGTCAACCAACACCGCATCAACAACGCCAGACTGCCTATCCAACTGGACAGCCAGTCTAGAAAGGTATGTGAAGTGGCTAGAGCCATCAATTCCCTTCTGTCCTGCTTCCCACTGCCTGGTCATCGCCATCTAACCCGAGAAGCCTCAACCAGAGACCTGATCCGTCACACACCAACAACCACCCAACATGTCTGAGCCACTCACCAAGGTCGACTCCGCCGTCCAAGGCCTCTCTTCTTCACCCCCCAAGGAGACCAAGCACAGGCGGGCAAGCTCCAGCGCCAATGGCGTGATGAACATCAATGACCTGGGTAAGTCGATGTCTATGCCGTGCCAAGAGCAAACCCCTAATACCCGCCATGTCCGGGACATCCGGCACGATGCTAACAGTGATGGCATCACAGAGGCCCAGGGCATTGACTTGGAAATTGCCAAGGAGACCCAAAAGCTGAACTGGTAAGTCGGCGATGTCTTCTTAGTTGTTGTTTCCGCAGTCCAATTTCTTGAACCGGAAGCTTACGCCGCCTGCCCCTTTGTCCAGGAAGATCAACACGTCGCCTTCAACAGTAGATGACAAGGAGTACCTCAAGAAGCTGCTCACAACACCACCAGTCAAGAAGATTGACCTACATTTCCCTCTGGGGCTGGAAGTAACAGCGCGGAACCTCAAGGGCGTCACAATCAAGGACGCATTGGATGCCATCCACAAGCAGTTCAAGAAGAGGGTAAGCTTCCCAGACTTTTGCCACGTCTCGTATGCAGCAATGCCCCAATCGGAATGTAGGTTAACAGATTGCGTGCCCACAGGCCGATGACGAGCTAGATCTGTCATACCTGGCGGGCTTCGAGTGGGACAAGGAGGAGTCGTGGACTCGGCTGGTGGTGCACCTGCAAAAGGATGCTGGCCCCCAACAGATGAGCAAGAAGAAGAAGAAGGGCGCCGCCGCCGAAGAATAGAGGGACATCAAGTCAACTCTTTTGGTGCTTCCCGGCCTCTAATTGTCGCTAATATTCTTTTGTTTTGGTCGTTCGGCTGCCTCCTGTTGGTCGATGCGGTTAGAATGGGGAAACGCGGATTCGCGATAGATTGAGCTGACCGGCGAGAGTGAAGGAACGGAATGGAATAGCTTTTACTTTCTTGTTGTGGCCCCGACTGTCTGCGGCCGTCGTCCTCTCCACTCCTTTGAGCATGGCGATGGGCTGCCGACATGTTTCCAATTACAAGGCTGGACCCCTTTTGGAAGCTGGGAATTTAGGTCAACCAACTCGAAGCCGGGCAAGGTTCCTCTCTGCCTGGCCAATATACAATATTTCAAGCAACAAACATTTGCCCAGTGTTCTCATTGTTTGTATCGGTTGTGCCGATACTCGGCCGTGACGTAGTTTCGAGGTTTGTTAGAGGTTTGTCGACCCACTGAACATACCTAGTGTGGATACCATCTGGAAGTCAGCTCAGGAGGTGATGCGGGGCAATCCGTGGCGGGACAGCGAGTGTTCAGTTGAGTACCTGCAGGGGCTGCTCCGGCTTACCCGTGCCGAGATAGGTGCTTGACTTGCTGCGATAATCTACCTAACAAGTGCAGCAGAGAGATCCGACGTTGCCCCCGTGGTCCAAAGCCTGAAATCGGGTGTGTTATCGGATCCTACAGGTTACCCACCGTGGAAGGTGTGTGTCATCGGGATGGACGGACGGACGTGAGAGCGGATCGTGTGGACGCTGCGCTATTAGTGGTCCCAGTGATCGCCTGCTAGCGCTGGAGTGCACTGGTGCAGTGCCTGCTGCAACGAGAAGCGCATACTCGCGGCTAGTGTCGGCCGGGACAGCAGCACTGTCGCGCCGTGTCCACTGCGGAATCGAGCAGCACCCCCCCAAAGGCCAGGCGTCATCATCCAACCTCCATCGGCGGCCCAGCAAAGGCGACGCGGCACAAAAGGATCGGACATGGGATGGGATGGCGAGGTGACAAGCGACGAGGCTTATTAAAGCTGTCCAACCTAGCTTTCTTTGCTAGGTCCCCCGAAATGGCGGCCATGTTTATTCTCTCTTTCTCTCTGGCCATTAACCCTTTGGTTTCCCCTTTGGACCGTATCCGACTGCGACCCCCTAACAGCGTGCGACTCGAAGCATCACCAGCAGTGCCACTAGCAGAACCGGGCGGACGACCGAGTAACTGAACGGGAGAAGGATAAAAAAGAGGAAGAGAGTTGGCGAATCAAATCGGCCGAGGATGCCTGTCACCGACTTCGAGTTCAAGGAGAAATACCAATACCAGAATGGCTTCGACTGCTACTTCGAGTGCGTCTTGTCCCCCTTGTTCCTATCTGGTGCCCTGTGCTGTGTCCTGTATCTCGCCGTCACCAGTCGTCACGCCCAATTGTATAAATATTGACGGTCGTCTATCGACAGATCCGAAGCCATTGCCGGCGCGCTACCCATAGCCCAGAACTCGCCCCAGAAACCACCGCTGGGCCTGTACGCCGAGAAGCTTTCGGGGACCGCCTTCACGGCGCCGCGGCACGAGAACAAACAAACATGGCTCTACCGAATCCTGCCGGCATGCGCGCACCCGCCCTTTTCGCCCGTCAGCTCGCCCAGCAGCACCGACAAGACGCTGCACTACATCCCAAACCAGCTGCGGTGGGACCCCTTTGACCACAGCCCCACGGCCGACTTCGTCTCGGGGCTGCGCCTCGTCGCCGGCGCCGGCGATCCCACGCTCAAGCAGGGGCTGGGCATGTACGTGTTCGCCGCCGGCGCGTCCATGGACCCGCGCTCTGCATTCTACTCGGCCGACGGCGACCTGCTGCTCGTGGCCCAGGACGGCGTGCTCGACATCCGCACCGAGCTCGGCTGGCTGCTGGTGCGCCCCCTCGAGATCTGCGTCATCCCCCGCGGCGTGCGCTTCCAGGTCCGCCTGCCCGCCGGCCCCGCCCGCGGCTACGCCCTCGAGCTCTACCAGGGCCACTTTGCCCTGCCCGAGCTCGGCCCCATCGGGTCCAACGGGCTGGCCAACGCCCGCGACTTCCAGACGCCCGTGGCGAGCTTCGACGAGGACTTTCCGGGCCACGACGGCGACGGCGCCGACGAGGCTAACGGGAACGGGGAAAGTAATAGCAGCAACGCAAGCAACGGGACTGCAACAAACGGCAGCCACGGCGCGGCCTACACCATCACGGCCAAGTTCAGCAACAGCCTGTTCGCGACGACGCAGCAGCACACGCCGTTCGACGTGGTGGCGTGGCACGGCAACTACGCACCGTACAAGTACGACCTGGGGCGCTTCAACACCATCGGCAGTGTGTCGTTCGACCACCCGGACCCGTCCATCTTCACGGTGCTGTCGGCAGCATCAGACCGTCTCGGGACGGCGGTCGCCGACTTCGTGGTGTTCCCGCCGCGGTGGCTCGTGGGCGAGGACACGTTCCGGCCGCCGTGGTACCACCGCAACACCATGAGCGAGTTCATGGGCCTCATCACGGGCGCCTACGACGCCAAGCGGGCCGGTGCTGGCGGCTTCGTGCCCGGCGGCGCCAGCCTGCACAATGTCATGAGCGGCCACGGCCCCGACGTCGCTAGTTACGAGGCCGCACGCAACGCTGAGCTGGCGCCCCAGAAGGTCGGCGCCGGCAGCTGCGCCTTCATGTTCGAGAGCTGCCTGATGGTTGGCGTGACTGACTGGGGCCTCGAGACGTGCCACAAGGTCCAGCCAGAGTACAATGCCCACAGCTGGCAGGGGCTCAAGGTCCACTGGAAGCGGCCGCAGGGTGCCTCTGCTGCGCCTGCGCCTGCTAGTGGCGATGGTAGTTAGTTGGTCGCCTGTGTAGGTCGGCTCCTTGGTTGTCGCAGGGGCTAGCTAGGTGCTTTGGGTAGACAACCCAGGTAGGTAGGTAGGTAATAACGACGAAGATTTAGGTTTCTGGCAGATGCGCACATAGCTCTTTCGTAATCGTAGAATGGTGAAACTAAAGACGTCTCTGGGGAGTAGTATGCCTACTCTGAAGTCAACAAACAGAGGAAGGCCAGCTAGTTGGTTAACTGTTTCGCTGACTCTATCCTCTGGTCTCTCCAACAGCAAAAGGGAAAAATAACAGCCAAAAGCAAAAACAGTAGGAAATATATCCAGAAATACAAGGAAAGAACACCATCAACAGCAAGAAACAACTCGAAAAGGTCCGCTAGCTCAATCGGGAGGGCGTCTGACTACGAATCAGGAGGTTCCAGGTTCGAGTCCTGGGCGGATCGAGACGAGTGTGCTGCACGGCATGGCGAGTTGGCGAGTCATGTTCGGTTTCTTTTTTTCTTTCTCTTTTTTGTTACGTTTCGAGGGCTGAGGGTTATGTCGTCGGGTGGGCCCGCTTTGTGCAACCTAACCTGAGCCATTATTAACTACGGGGTACCAGCTCTGACTTTTTAGTTATGTATATGTGTAGGTAGGTAAGTAAGGTACGCATCATGCCTTGGGTTCAGGGACCTAGATAACCTCTTTTCCTGGACTCTAATGCCGGTTGGGTTGGGTTGGGCTGAGCTGAGTTGGATTGAGACTGTTTTGCCTGAGAGGGACTAATTACAGTTAGGATCCCTTGTCTATTGTGTCTCTAGTCGCCCTTTTGTTCTGTAGGTACCTAGCATGTCTCTAGGTAGGTATATGTCTCCCGTTCAGCTTATTACATACGTCCCAAGCCTCGTCTCCCAGCGATGAGATGTACTGTACCAGAGGTAATGCATTCCCCAACGGCTTCTTCTCCCAGCCCTTCAGGCCTAATGACAAGTGGCCCGTCCATGTCACGTCTCTGGAACTGGAACAGCAAATTCGCTCGCCACGCTAAGGCCAGCAATAAATATTCTTGTATGCCAGGTGCATACCCAGACGGACGAGGCAGGTAATGTACCTATATACACGCGTGCTAGCGCCCGACGCCCTCCCCTGCCTGGCCATGCTCCCTTTTCCCCTCCTAGCCGACTGCAGGGAAATCCTGCCATTGCTCCTCCCAAACCGCACAAACGTGCGTTGCAGGACACCGCCAAGAAACTCCGTTGTGTGTAGGTAGTAGGTATGTTGTGCCGCTAGTTCAAAGCCCGCCGTGTGAATAGGACGGCGGGCCAGGCAGCGCAAGGAATGCAGATACCGAAAAGAGGTATATCAGATGCAAGTATTACGGCCCATGCATATGTGTTTGCTTGCTCAGGGCAATCAATAATAAGTGGTGGTGACAGTTGTGGAAAAGAGACGCAAACAAATGGTGTAGTCTATATCAAGTCGTGTCTCGTTACGTCGTGGCCGTGGCTCAACCGTGTCCGTGCGCGCGCGCGCGCGTGTGTGTGTGTGTGTGTGTGTGTGTGTGTCGTGTATCATGATGTATATACAGAGATATGGGCCAGTGGTTGCCCTCGCGGCGTCGGTGTGCCGGTATCAATGAAGTGGGAAGTATCGCAGACGGTTCGGGTGCGAAGGCAGGAGCCCGACTGGAGCTAATCGCCTTCCGGGGCGACGGGGAATCTGCCGGCTTGTGTCTGGGCGGAGGCGGGTTTGCTTCTTTCCATGCGAGTGCCCAGAGGAGCTTGCACAGCTTCCAACGTCTAAAGAATCAGCACCCGTCTGCCGGCTCATGCTCCTGGAGCTGTTCCACATCTGCGGAGAAGACGTGCCGCAACGCCGTGTCCCGTGGGTGCTTGCGTAGTACCGCAGACCCGCTTCCCTCGCTCTCTTGCCCACAAGTCAAGTCGGACTAAGGCCGCACGGGAGACGGCGGCGTAGCAGTAGCGGACTGCTGGTTCGATCCCTGCCCGCCGTCGAGAGGCTTCTGGCCGTAGATGCCGTGGAACGTAAAGAAGGTGTGGAACATGCCGTTCATGGCGGCCTTGCGCACGTCGACTAGGAACATCTCGATCTGCAGCTGCGTCCAACCAAGGGCCAGAAAAGGCCGCCGGCTAAGACCCCGCAGGCCGTCCATGATTGCCGTCCGCATAAACAGGCCGCACAGCCGGAGGCGCTTGTCTCTCGGCCACAGCCCGATTGGTGTCTTGTGCGACCTGCTCCGCACATTCTCGAAGCCTGCCGCCTGCAGCTCCTCGGTCAGTGTCAGGACGGCATGAAGCTCATACCCCAGCGCACGCATGCCGTCTTCCATGTAGTGGTAAAAGTCTCGCAGGGCATATGGTGTCTCGGCCGTCATCGTCTCGTCATCGCATCGCGGATAAAAGTGTAACTCCTGGAATTCGAGATAACCGCCCGGTTTGAGGTGGCTAGAGGTCTTGTCAGCGCCCTGTGTTACTGGCCCAGAGGACTCTCTCGGGCTAGGTTTGTCCACGTACTGCATCGCCTTCTGTATGAGTCCCTTCATGTCTCGGACCGAGTGCACCACGTATCGGACGTGGATGTAGTCGTATTTGTTTTCCGGGTCCAGCCACTCCTCCTCGAAGTCGTCGACGAAGAAGTGCACGTTTTCCGGTACGTAATTCGGCTGTATCGGGGACAAATCGATGCCGGTGATTTCGGCTGCCGGATATTTGTCGCCCACTGCAAGCTTTCGGTTAGTCATGTTTCGCTCCTTGACTCTTCTCTGAGTAGTGCATCTCCGGCGTGTCTGGTACTGCCGAGCCGGCGGACTCGAACCGAGTTCCATCTTCACATCCTCGAAGAAAGAGAGCCAGCCTCAGGCATTTTCCTTCATGGCACCGAATTGGGCTTCTCGGCAGCCGGCAGTGTGAGACCAGCAAGTACCCAGCCGTTACATGTCGGCGTACAGCTAGGGTGACACAAGGCCAGCGCCTGGACACTTGTCCGACATCCCTATTCGACCATGGCGTGAAGAGTGCGGCTGCGGTCGCCCAACGAAAACCCGACGGAAAGGAAACTCGCAAGCCACTTACGTTCCATGGCCCAAATGCCGGTTCCTGTGCCTGTTTGCGCGACATGCCGGTCAGCCTCTTTGATCCGTTGTGCAACTCAAGAAAAAGGAACCAAAGCACTTATGCTCCGCAAACATCGACACCACAGCGAGCCCTGAGAGTTTTGGTGTCTTCTGGAGCACAGGATGGCTCTCTTCCAGGCCTGTGCATTCGACTATGACCGACGCTTGAGGGAATCGCGGGCTCGGACTGGGGCGGATGCAAGAACCCGCACTTACCGAGATCCAAAACCTGGGCTCCATTCTTGAACATGTCCTCGACAGGAGCATAGAAATGCGCGCCGCGGCAGAGCATCAGGCTCATGGTGTGCTTCATGTCGTCGCGGTTCTGCTCGACGTCGTCGTTGGGGAACGGGTACTTGCCGTCGCGGTAGGCGTGGTACCGCAGGCCGCCCTCGTAGACGTGTGCCCGTATCGAACTCGTGACGGACGCCGGGTACCTGCTCATGTCGGAGTCGAAATTAGGGTCGAAGTCGGTGCTGCGGGCGCTGATGTCGGACTCGGCGCTGCTGGCGGCGGCGGCGTAGAGCGCCTCCTCCTCTTCCTCCAGCGTCATCGGCGACTGTGCCCCAGCCGACATGCTTGTCGAGCTGGAGCAGTACGTTGGCGCTACATTTGCTCCGGACCCCGAAGGCTCGCCGTTCTCGGCCCGCTCTTGCCCGTCATCCCCCGGAGTGGGAGGCATTGCGTCGGATGTGTTGTCCCGGGATGCGGATTTGTCTGCGAGCTATCTCGGACAGCCAGTTCTGCAGCGGTATCGATGGTGCGTGGTGTCTGACAGGCTGCGTCATGCCACGAAAGTGTTTTGCAGTCGCTCTTCGAAAAGGCGGTCTCGGGTTGGAAGAGTCGAAAGGGGCCGGATCGAGTCGGCAGTGGGCCGTGGGCTGTGCAGGTCTGGCTGGTTTCGTGCTCAAGCTCATAGGCTTGCCCCGGGTCCCGTCCTAGCCACGGTTGGGTCTGAGGGGATGGGGGGGAGCAACAGATATATGAGGTCCCGGATGGGCTGCGCGCGTGTAGGGATGCTTAGACCCCTTCAATCCCGGTGGTATGGTACGGCAAGGTGCGGGTGAGGGAGCAGGAGAAACAAGATGGCAAAGTTTCATTGGCGAGTGGAGTTAAGGGTGGGGTGTGGGTTGAATCAACAGGCCAGGCATGGGTCGCGTGAATTGTGTTTCTTGCGCACCGCTCCCTGCCAAGCATGGCCTGGCGTCTCTCTAGTCCTTGCTCCTTGGGGCGCCGGGGGTGTGTGAGAGCAGTGATTTGATTATGTACAGTACTTGTAGGGGATCTTGGCGTGGCAGATCAGGCGCAGATATCCCGGCAACCTTGACGGGAGATGGCAGCGAGCAGGATTGCGACCTGGGATCCTGGGTCGGTTCCAGAACGAGAATGGGAGTGCCCTATTCTTGTCCCGCGCGAGCGGCGGAGCGAGTGCGGAGCACCTCCTGTCCTGTCCTCTACGGTGAGATGATGGATCCGGTGCAAGCTGCTTCTCGCGCGAGTCAGAGCCTACAGCATCTCCAGAAACCGGGGGTGGGTAGTCCACTATCCAAGTCCAGGCTCGAGTTGGTCTGGTCTGGTCTGGTCACGGCTCGCAGCATCCGCACAGCCAGGGACGCCAGCGACAGCAGGGCTGCAATTGGAAGGGACGTGTTCATACAACAAGACGAGGACCAGGGGTATCCGTGATCCGGAAACAAAACAAGAACCTCGTTGGGAAGGGGAGGCTCGCCCGGTCGTGCACCGAGGAAGGTTCCGGGGCTGGGTTTGGGGCTTTGGGGACTTGGGAGCCGGCAAGAATTGACAGTCCCAGTAGTTTGGTTGAGGGGTGTCGACAGCGTGGGGCTTGGCATCGGAACCTTGTCGAGGACGTGGGCCGTTGACCGTGAACCGTGGTGATGGCGAGGGGTGGGGCTGGGGATGGGAGAGTGCGTCCTGGGAGCGGGAGTGTCGGCCTCTCGGGAACTGGCAAATGGATGCTGCTAGCCCAAGATTGTGCAAGCTGCAAGTGCAAGACCCCTCGCCCTCGCAGCCATGGCAGTCCGTAATGGTGATAGCAAAAATTTCCCACTTAATCCGCACAAATCCGCGCTAGTTCAAACTGCCCTTTCCCCATCCCATCCCCATCCCTGCCCTGCCCTGCCGGATTGTTGTTGGCATCACATCAGCGGGCACCGGACACAAAGAAGCCATCAGCATGACTTGACCCAGCCTGACGGGTCGCGGGCTCCATTTGCTGTTTTGGGGTCGAGGTCTGTCCAGGCTAGGACATACAGTACTAGACACATATTCGTTCAGTCTTTCCGGCGTGTATCCATACAGAGCCCAGACATG